TGCCCAGGGACCTACAAGATTGACCCCAACTAACAATCTAAGTAGTAGTTGACAGGCTACAGTAAAAGCCCTTCTCTAATAATGAGATTGATGACTACCTTATATGCCATCCTAGTGCCTTCATCCAGTAGCTGATGGAAGCAGACACAGACACCCACAGCTAACCACTGAGATGAACTCTGGAATCCAGTTGCAGAGAGGTAGGAGTGATGGGGGAAATACTTCTGCGTATGTTTATAAATAAAGTACTTGCTTGGCCAATATGACAGCAGGTTAGGCTGGACTAGGAGTCAAAGAGGATTCTGGGAAATGTAGTAGAGACATGGTGTTCCAGACAGGAAGTGACATAACAAGGAAACTCATATTTAAGAAGAGGAAAAAGGAAGTGTCACTCTCTTTCCCCTCGGCTCCTGCTCCAGCGGCACGATGTGATCCACCAGCTAGGAGGGACGCCAATAAGGCGTCTGATAAGATAAGTCTTATAAAATATATAGATGTATGATAATTGATACTGAGCTAACAGATGAGAATCCTAGTCATTGGCCAAGCAGCATTGTAACTAATACAAGTCTCTCTGTGTATTCATTTGGGCCTAACTTGGGCAGGTGGCTGGCGTAAAGCTTACACGTGGCAGTGGGGCTCAGTGGCTTTTGGCAGAAAGATTTATTATAATATTTATCGTAACATAGGAGTGATCAGCTAAGGGGTCAAAACCAGGCTGGAGAAACCCACAGAAAGAGCTCACCTGAACAAGAGGTTACTCATGGACCCCAGACTGATAGCTGGGAAACCAGCACAGGACTCTTCCAGACATCCTGAAGAAGGAGGTCAGTTTGGAGATCTAGACAATCTATGGGGCCTCTGGTGGTGGATCAGTACTTACCCTTAGTATACAAATGGACTTTGGGAGCACTCTCCACATAGAGAGATACTCTCACAGCCTAGACACATGGGGAAGGGCCTAGGCCTTGCTTCAAATGATACCACAGACATTGAAGATACCCCATGGAAAGCATCACCCTCCCGGGGCAGCAGAAAGGGGTTGAGATAGGGGGGTTGGTGGGGAGCAGGGGTGGAGGGGAGAGAGAGGGAATTGAGATTGACATGTAAAAGAAGCTTTTTTCTAATTTAAATAAATAAAAATATTCAAAGTAAACAAAGTACCATAGAGGATCCAGACACCGTGGGTATTTCTTATGTTTATATTCTATATGACTGTCTATATCCATTTTTTTCTTTCTTTAGCATCTAAGTACATTTTAAAACATACTACCCTTTTTAAGGGTTTTCTTTGTCTAAACATGGCTTTACTAAGCACCTACCGTGTCCTCTGACTACATGAAACATATCTCAACCTGCCATGTCAGCTGGCCGGAAACTCAGTCCAGTCATGATGCTGGTGCTTGGTGCTGGCTACACCCCATAGACAGCTTCTGTTAGCCACACACCTGTATGTGGATCCCCAGCTGGCCAGAGAAACTGCAGGACTAGGAAACAGCCATGCCTGTCTCTGTGTTTGCATGTTTGGAACCCTTTTTAAAACTTTCTCATGTCTTATGTGGAAATATGCTCCCCTACATTGGATAACATATATAATAATAAGTCTTTCTCTGTTCAGCTCTCATAATGACACAGAGACTTATTATTAATTATGAAGGCTTGGCCTTAGCTTGGGCTTGTTTTTAATAGCTCTTACAACATAAATTAACCCATTTCTATTAATCTACACTCTGTCACAGATTGCACATACTGCTTCTTCTGTGTATCCTGGCATCTCTTACATGCCTAGATTCCTCCACCTTTTCCTTTCTTTCCCCAGAAATCCTGTCTGGACCTGGTGACTAGCTGCTGGCTGGGCAGCTTTTGATTACACCAGTCATAGCAATACACCTTCACAAAGTGCACAGATACCTTACAACTCCATCCAGGCTCATTAACTTCAAATATAGAGCTACAGGATTTGAAGTTTGCCCTGCTTGGTTTTGGTCTTTCGTAGTTTCAGTATTTCTTCACTGTGCCCCTCTCCCTATCTCCCTTTTGAAATGGTAATGTATATTCTGTGTCATTGTATCTTGGGAATATGTAATTTGCTTTTTTGATTTTGCAGGGAAATACAATTAAAAGATTGCCTTGAATCTCAGAAGAGATTTTAGCCTTTTAAACAGTCTTGAGATTGAAAGGCTTTGGGCACTTTTGAAGTTGAACTAAATGAATTCTGCATTACAGTAAGATACAAGGCTGTGGGAATTAGGGAGTAGAATGTGATAATTTTAATGAGAATATCATACAGGGGCTAATAATATAGTTAAATATTTGGTCACCAGTTGATGGAGCTGGGAAGATTTAGAAGTTGTGTACTTGTTTGAGGAAGTATGTAACTAATTCATTGATACCACATAATAAGTTGCCACATTTTAGAGTCTTTTTTGTTTGTTTTGTTTTGCTTTTCGAGACAGGGTTTCTCTGTGGCTTTGGAGGCTGTCCTGGAACTTGCTCTTATAGATTAGGCTGGTCTGGAACTCACAGAGATCCAATTGCCTCTGCCTGCTGAGTGCTGGGATTAAAGGCGTGCACCACCACTACCCAGCCACATTTTAGCATCTTTCCAGGGAACAAATTCCTTCTTACAGTATAGCACACAGTTTCTGCTATAGCTCAACTGTTCCTTCTGCCATGGATGTTACATTACTTCTCAGAAATAAGTATAAAAATTTGCATGCAATGGATCGACTTCCAAACTAATTTCTGTTTTTTCAAGAATTGACACACTTGAAGCCCTGGTTGAGCTTATCTCTGGATGTTAGTTAGGGGATTGTCATTCATATAGTTCATCTACTCTTCCTGGTCATAAGCACACTCACTACAAAGTTCACTTTTGCAAAGCTAGTGAAGGGACAGCAAAGAAATCCTGCCATCAAGATGCAATTTTATATAAAACACTATAGCCACAGGGAAATACTGAATTATTTTTCTCCTTATTTTGCTTTGGTTAGCACCATGAAGCAGACTATGTAAGAAGGTAAAAAATACTAGAAGATAAGACTCAGAGGTGCCCCATTAGGAACTGAAGCCAGAGTCTGTTTTCCCTCTTCTTAATTGATGCCCTTCTAACATTCACAATACATTCGTGTTCTGTCAAAATTCTCAAGAGTGGCATATTCTTATGGCCCTGAGTCTGAAGTGCATGGTTTCTTTAACAGTAAGGACTGACTTTCTGCCCCTGGACAACCAAAGGTAACAGAAATAACCTGTAGTGTTTTGGGAGTCTACTAGACAACTTTGACAAGCAATTCAAAAGAGGGCTTCTCATACCTGGAGTTGGAGTTTTGGTTAGATGGCCATTCTTGGATGGAGCATTGTCAGTCCTGGTGGAAAATTTTCATTAAAAAAATATATGTAGTGAGATGTGGTTTCTCTTTTTCAGTTTGTTTATATGGTGAATTATATTGATGGATTTTTGTATGTTGAACCATCCTTACATCCCTGGGATGAAGCCTACTTGATCATGGTGGATGATTTTTCTGATGTGTTCTTGGATTCAATTCGCCAATATTTTATTGAGTATTTTTGCATCAATGTTCATGAGGAATATTGGTCTGTAGTTCTCTTTTTTAGTTGTATCTTTGTGTGGCTTGGGTATCAAAGTGATTGTAGCCTTGTAAAAAGAGTTTGGCAATGTCCCTTCTGCTTCTATTGTGTGGAACAATTTGAGGAGCACTGGTATTAACTCTTGTTTGAATTTATGGTAGAATTCTTCAGTGAAGCCATATGGCCCTGGGCTTTTTTTGGTTGGGAAGATTTTGATGACTGCTTCTATTTCATTAGGGGTTATTGGTCGATTTCAACTGCTTATCTTGGATTAATTTTGGTAAGTGATATCTATCCAGAAAATTGTCCATTTTCTTTAGATTTTCGAATTTTGTAGAGTACAGGTTTTCAAAGTATGACCTGATGATTCTCTGTATTTCCTCAGTGTCCGATGTTGTATCCCCCTTTTCGTTTCTGATTTTGTTAATTAGCATGTTCTCTCTCTGCCTTTTGGTTAGTTTGGATAGAGGTTTGTCTATCCTGTTGATCTTCTCAAAGAACCAACTCTTTGTTTCATTGATTCTTTGTAATGTTTTCCTAGTTTCTACTTTATTGATTTCAGACTTCAGTTTGATTATTTCCTGGAGTCTACTTCTCTGTGGTGAGTTTTCGTCATTTTGCTCTGAAGTTTTCAGTTGTTTTGTCAATTCTCTAGTGAGACTTTTCTCTAGTTTCTTCATGTGGGCACTTACTGCTATGAACTTTCCTCTTATCACTGCTTTCAGAGTGTCCCTTAAGCTTGGGTATGTTGTGAAAGCAACCCAGATGCCCCTCAACTGAAGAATGGATAGAGAAAATGTGGTACATTTATACAATGGAGTACTACTCAGCAGAAAAAAACAGTGAATCATGAAATTTGCAGATAAACTAGAAGAAACCATCCTGAGTGTGTTAACCCAGTCACAAAAAGACAAACATGATATGTACTCACTCATATATGAATTTGAGACATAGAGCAAAAGATTACCAGCCTACAATCCTCATCACCAAAGAAACTAGGAAACATGAAGGACACTAAGGGAAAAATGCCCGGACCCCAGAGAATGGGAAGGGGCAAGAACTCCTGAGTTAATTGGTAACATGAGGATTTGGGAGATGAAGCTGCCAGAATGAGAGGAGAAGAGAAGGGGAGAGGAGGAAATGGAGGATCAGAAATATTGAGTTGGGGGAAGAATAGAGGAGAGCAGGATGAGAGATACCATATCAGAGGGAGCCATTATAGGTCAGAGAAGAAATCTGGCTCTAGGGAGGTTTCCAAAGATCTACAAAGATGACACGAACTGACAATCTAGGTGATGGTGGAGAGGATACCCTAAATGCCCTTCCCCTATAATGAGACTGATGAGTACTCTATATGTCATCCTAAAGCCCTCATTCAGTGGCTGATGGAAGTAGAGGCAGACACCCACTGATATACACTGAACTGAATTCTGGAACCCAGTTGCAGAGAAGGAAGAATGAAGATCAAAGGGGTCAGTACCAGGCTGGTGAAACCCACAGAATCAGCTGGCCTGTACAAGGGGGAGCACATGTACCCCAGACTGCTGTCTGGGAGGCCAGCACAGGACTGATCCAGACACTTGAATATGGATGTCAATGAGGAGGCCTCTGCACTCTAGGGGGCCCCTGGTAGTGGATTAGCATTTTTCACTGGTATAAGAAGGGACTTTGGGAGCCCATCCCATGTAAAGGGATGCACTCTCAGCCTGGGCACATGGGGGAGGCCTTAGGCCCAGCCCAGGATGATGTAGTGGACATTAGGGAGCCCCATGGAGGGCCCTACCCTTCCTGGGGAATGGAGGGTGGATGGAGTAGGGAACAGGTGGGGGGTTGGGGGGAGAAGAGGGGGAGGGAGAGGGAGAAGGGATTGACATGTGAAGCAAGCGTGTTCCTAATTTGAACTAATAAAAAAATTACTATATATATGTGTATATTTATATACCAGTTTCCGTGTATTGTAGGTATTTTTAGATAGATGGTTAATACTATGATTCCTTATGACATCTTCAGAAAACATACATATTAGTAACATTATACATACTGAATAAGTTTTATGTATATATATAATATATATATATACACATATATTTATTTACATAAACAGTGTTAAAAGATCATGAATTTTGAAGGGAGCAAGGAGGGTGGCTTTAGAGGAAAGGGAATGTAAAATGATGTAATTTTTATTGTAATCTCCAAAGTAAAAGAAATAATTAGACATATGTCAGTAATGTCTAAAATGTTATGCAAATAATATACAAAGTGCATTTGTTTCGCTGAATGTTAATTCCTTCTGGTAGCTTCTGGTACTGTACCCTTTGTGCATATGTCATTGTGCATTAATTTTATTGTGAAACTAAACACACAGTTTACCTTTTATTACACAGTCAGCGCAAAGTGGGATACATGCTTTGATTAATAGGGATAGGCATCTTCCTTCCAAAATGGGGGTTTGGGAATTCATTTTTGGTTTGTTAGAGGTTGCAGTCTTTCATAGCCTGGCAATATGGAAATTCCCTCCTTCCCCATCAAGGTTTTCTGCTCTCTTCCTGCCCTTATCTGGAGACTGTCCCTGGACCTGGAGACTGACCTTATCTGAAAGCTGTCTCTAAACCAGATGCCTGATTCATCTTTACTTGACCCTTGGCACGGATCCCTGCTAAGAAGACTTGTGCTAGGATCTGTGCTATAGGAACTTACTGCCACTTACAAAGGATTGTGCTAGAAGTGTGTCACTTAATGCAAACTAGGATTTGTCCCCAGGATCCCCAATCCTATGTATTTCTTATATTCTGGAATAAAGTGAAGCTAATTCACTGAGGTCTGTCTCTCAGGGGCCTCCCTTACAGTGCTCATGGGCCATAGGCAAAGCTTTCTGTTGTCCCTTCTGCCTCTTTCCCCTATCAGACTGATGGCCAACAGCAGAGAGGGAAAAGGGGATCCCCATGGGGGTGTGTATACAGAAATTAAGGAAAATGCTGATCTTGGTAATTTTGAATTCTACTCAGGCAAAAACAGAGATTTCTTCAACTACGGTTGAAGATGTTGGCTGCTGCTTTAAGTGTGTGTGTGTGTGTGTGGGGGGGTATGACTGCATCTGCTTTGCATTAGAGTTCATTTCTGACCTCTTGGTTCCATTCACGTTCTTTTTCTATGGACATCGCCACACATTTGAAGCTGAACAATTTTACCTGCTGCTTCTTGTCAGTAACTTGACAGGCTCTTTTTCTCTTGTTTCTTTTTTTTTGTTTTTTAGATTTATTTATTTATTTATTATGTATACATTGTTCTGCATATAACCCTGCAGGCCAGAAGAGGGCACCAGATATCATTGCAGATAGTTGTGAGCCACCATATGGTTGCTGGAAATCCAACTCCGGACCTCTGGAAGAACAGCCAATGCTCTTAACCACTGAGCCATGTCTCCAGCCCCCTTGTTTTCTCTTGTAATCCCTGTTTCTTTTTGTTTGAACAGGGAGTGATTCTGGCAATGCCCTTGTTAAGTTTTTCCCTGGATATGATAAGATGCACACAATTGATAAAATCTACACCCACTAACTAGCCTTTTGCTCCTGTTGGTAACCCCATTCCTTAATGACACCGTTGAAGTTCTTCCCACTTTGTTATGTCCCTACACTACCAGCCTCTGGACATTCCTATGGCATGGAAGAGAGGTTCTTGGAGGTGTCTTTAGAGTGAACTACATGCCTTATCTTTTGATTTTTGTGATGTTTAGATGAATATTTCATTGTTTTGTAGCTGACATTTTCTCAAATGCATACTGTGCCCATAAAGAATCTCCCGAATTCCGTCTTTGACATTTAGAAATGGTAAAGATATAAAAGTTATCTGACCATGGGTGCTTTATAAGTCATCTTAGTTACGGTAACCTCACATTTTACTTGAGGTAAAAACTAATAGAAATGGAAAATGTAATATTTTTTCTTGGAAATCAACTTATATATATGACTCTAATCATCATTCTGAAACATTGTGCCTTTTGATATTTTAAACACTTAGCTGTGATCTCTTCCTGACAGATATTTATGACTAATCACTTACCATTGTCACCAATTATAAAATTTCTCAATTATGTTCTACCTTTCCAAAAATTGTGCTGAATATGTCTTCTTATGCTGAAGAAAGTAAGCATAATATCTCCCTTATGAGACACAACTCAGATCTTAATTTTAAAAACTCCATGAAAAAGATTGCACTCATTGCCATAGGTTTTCATTTTGCTTTCTGTAGGAAAATATATTTTATTCCATTCACAAAAGACTGGATTGTTCTCTTCAGAAGACGTTTTAAAGAAACGCAATGTCTATTTATACATTTCCAGTGCCTTCTATTTACAGTTCTCTCTCTCTCTCTGTTTATACATGTTGTGAATATGCATCGGAGGAGCTGTGGAGACAGAGTAGGGAAGTGGGTAGTTAGTCTGTACCAGAAGCAAACTAAGGGTCCTAGAGCATTTGTTTTTAGTAAGCGCCAAGAAAAGTCACAAATCTCTCCCTCCATGGTGAGGTAGAGCTGCTCCCATATAGACATGTTCCTGTACACAGCTCTTAGCCATGCAGAGGATTTTTAGCAGCTGGTCTGCTTGGTGACTGGTAACAACTCTCCAACTTTTCTGGACTTTACAAAACAGTTTTGGGAACTCAAGTCAGGGGTACCCCACTTCTCTCTACCTAAGAGTGTTGAAGAGTGCTTAGGTCAGTGTCTGCACTGATGGTGTCATTCTAGTTATTATAGATTTGAACTCGCCTATGGAAATAATCTAGTCTTCAGGTTTCTAATTGAGATGGATAATAAATAACAGAATAGTGACTTTTGCTTTATGTCTGGTATTCACTAATGAGTGAGTGTATACTATATTTGTCTTTCTGGGTGTGTGATACCTCACTCAGGATGTTTTTTTCTATTTCTGTCCATCTGCCTGCAAATTTTAGAATGTTATTGTTTCTTCTTTGTAGTACTCCATTGTGTAAATGTACCACATTTTCTTTATTCATTCTTTGGTTGAGGGGCTTATAGGTTCTTCCCAAATTCTGGCTATTATGGATAATTTTGCTATCTATGAACACAGTTGAGCAAATGTCCTTGTGGTGTGAATGTGCCTCCTTTGGGTATATGCCCAAAAGTGGTATTACAGGGTCTTGAGGTAGGTTGATTCCTAATTTTCTGAGAAATCACCATACTGATTTCCACAGAGGTTACACAACCAGACATAAAGCAAAAATATATCCAGCCTACAATCTACAACCCCAGAGAAGCTAGAACTCTCTTCCAGAAACAGATAGGAACTGTTTAGTGACAGTGCTGTGAACAAGCTCCTGGAGTACAATCAAAGTGAGGGAGGAGCAATAATCTGAACAAAGGAGTCAAGACCATGATGGGGAAACCCGCAGAATCAGCTGACTCGAGCTAGTGAGAGATCACTGACTCTGATCTGACAAACGAGGAACTTGCGTAAGACCAAACAAGACTCCCTTAATATAGGTGACAATAGTACAGCTGGGACAATATGTGAGGCTGCCGGCAGTGGGTCCAAGATCTAACTCTAATGCACAAACTGACTTTGTGGAGCCGATTCTATATGGAGAGATACCTTGTCCAGCCTAGACACAGGGGTGTGGGGGTGGAGAGGTCCCTTGGTCCTGCCTCATCGAGATGATGGGACAGACTTAGTAGACTTCTTAGGGGAGGCCTTACTCTCTCCCAGGAGCATATGAGAGGTTATGTGTGTGTGTGTGGGGGGGTGGGGAGAACAAGAGGAGAGGAAGGACGGAGAACTGTGATTGGAATGTAAACAAAACCAGAGTAGCAGCATGATGTCAGAATCTGTGAATATTCATTCAATGACACACAATAAAGATAGTTCACTGCTTCTCTTGAGTGCAGTGGCACACCCTTCCATTTCCACCATCATCACTGCCAGGTCACAAACCTATCCCCATTCTTCCTTGATAGATATGGACAAAGCTCTGTCACAATTTCAGAAATCTGCAAATGGATTCTGCTGGGGTGTAGATCCCTACTTTAAAGCACTGACTAAGGAGTAGGTCTTTCAGGAAATGACGAAGGCAGGAGGGCAGTTTCCCCACCGATGGGATCAACAATTTTATAGCAGTGCTGAATAGAGCGGGCTGGGTCCTTCTGTTCTTCTGTCTTCCCCAGGGCGGTGATACTGTTTCTGTTTGCCATTTTGGAAGCAGGTACCAGGTGCTACCGTGCTACAACTAGAGGCGCATTGCAGTTGAGCTTCCCAGCTTTCAAAGTGTGAAAAGTCAAACTCCATTGTCTATAAATTCCTCGGCCTACGGAATTAATATGCAGTCATGTTGGTAAATGTAGCCACCTTTCAAGATAGGCAATCCGGTTTCCTCCTAATGCTATGACCCTTCACATATTAAAAATGAGAATAGGCGCACAGATTTAATCCCAGCACTCGGGAGGCAGAGGAAGAGGCAGGTGGATCTCTGTGAGTTCGAGACCAGCCTCGTCTACAAGAGCTAGTTCCAGGACAATCTCCAAACACGGAGAAACCCTATCTCAAAAAAACCAAAAAGAAAAGAGAAAAAAATGAGAATAGATAGAACAGTTCACAGCAGCGTCACTAAATAGTTTAATAAGTTGTTTAGTGTTTGACATCATCTGGTGCTCAAAAAGTATTGACTGTTATCATTAGCTGGGCTTCTTTAATTTTCACTTCTTGGGCTCCGCTGGTCTCCTTGGCACTCTTGGTAAAAGTCGCTCTAACACAGCAGTGATGTGCTATTCACTGAGCACATAAAACACAGAGAATAATCAGGACGAGCCCTGCCTCATCCTAAACACAGACATTTGGGCTGATTGTACTTAGCTGACATCTCAAGCAGTACCAAACACAGCTTGTTTCTTTACTGTGCTGAGCAGCACCTTAAGTGGGAGCCCGTGGTAGTCCTTCCGACCTTTCAGTCTTAAGTCTGCTAAATATTGTTTAAAAGGCTGTGACATTTGGGATTGGCAAAGCTAGAATGGAATGAACGTGGAAACTAGCCCCCAATTATAAAAAGCAAATACCATTCTGATTTTTACATAGCAATCCTTGTTGATCTTTCCATGCTATAATTTCGAAGTAGTGTTCAATCAGAAGAGAAGGGCGCCCTCTAGTGTTTTGATTGAAGATGATCAATTACATAAGCAATTTCACATGTCAGTTGAACTGGTTTGTCTTAGGTTCTCAGCTGAAGTGTCTTTTATATATGTAGGCTGTAGATTGGTAAACAAGTCAACGAACATATTTACATGAATTTTCAGGAAACATTCTATTTCAGTGGACTTTTTTGTGATTTTAAGCATATGATAGAGCAGATTAGAGACTGTACCAAACTATGATTTCTCGTCTGTGATGTGACATTAACTTTTGTTCCTTTGTTGTGGAAGGTCAGCCTCCAACTTGAGAAGGCCACATATAAATCAACAGTGTTACAGATTTTTAAAACTATTGGGATAGGAACATTTTCCTTCACCAGAGGGACCAGAGGAATTTAGAGGAGGGTGCTGTGACAGCCTCATTTCTATGCCCCTGCCCCAGTCATCACAAAGATGACCTTTCTGGTGACTCCTGTGTCTTACAGCATTCTTTGCTGAGAGGTTAGCAGTGTTTCTTCTCCCTACGTCCTACCCCTACATTGTATCATTCACTTTCTTTTCCAGGCTCCTTTCTGCAACCCTTGCAGTCCACAAAATTAAAAGGCTGGTGTGCAAATACTCAGTACCTCACTGAGTTTTTGTGTTGTGTGATTGTGTTGCATTTGGAGGTGGGTCCTTGTGAA